TGAATTTCATGTGGGGGTCTGGAATATGTGTGGTGAGAGTCCCCTACAAAAATCAGCTCATTTTCTCAAGGAGAAGTGGGTGATTACAATTGAAACCTGATTCCAGGCAATTCTGCACAGACTTCTGCAGACTGCTGCACAGCAAGGCTTAAAACACATATCAAACCTTGGGCAAATGAGGTGAATTTCATGTGGGGGTCTGGAATATGTGTGGTGAGAGTCCCCTACAAAAATCGGCTCATTTGCTCAAGGAGAAGTGGGTGATTATAATTGAAACCTGATTCCAGGTAATTCTGCACAGAATTCTGCAGACTGCTGCACAGCAAGGCTTAAAACACATATCAAACCTTGGGCAAATGAGGTGAATTTCATGTGGGGGTCTGGAATATGTGTGGTGAGAGTTCCCTACAAAAATCAGCTCATTTGCTCAAGGAGAAGTGGGTGATTACAATTGAAACCTGATTCCAGGCAATTCTGCACAGAATTCTGCAGACTGCTGCACAGCAAGGCTTAAAACACATATCAAACCTTGGGCAAATGAGATGAATTTCATGTGGGGGTCTGGAATATGTGTGGTGAGAGTCCTCTACAAAAATCAGCTCATTTGCTCAAGGAGAAGTGGGTGATTATAATTGAAACCTGATTCCAGGTAATTCTGCACAGAATTCTGCAGACTGCTGCACAGCAAGGCTTAAAACACATATCAAACCTTGAGCAAATGAGGTCAATTTCATGTGGGGGTCTGGAATATGTGTGGTGAGAGTCCCCTACAAATATCAGCTCATTTGCTCAAGGAGAAGTGGGTGATTACAATTGAAACCTGATTCCAGGCAATTCTGCACAGAATTCTGCAGACTGCTGCACAGCAAGGCTTAAAACACATATCAAACCTTGGGCAAATGAGGTGAATTTCATGTGGGGGTCTGGAATATGTGTTGTGACAGTCCCCTACAAATATCAGCTCATTTGCTCAAGGAGAAGCGGGTGATTTCAATTGAAACCTGATTGCAGGCAATTCTGCACAGAATTCTGCAGACTGCTGCACCGCAAGGCTTAAAACACATATCAAACCTTGGGCAAATGAGATGAATTTCATGTGGGGGTCTGGAATATGTGTGGTGAGAGTCCCCTACAAAAATCAGCTCATTTGCGCAAGGAGAAGTGGGTGATTATAATTGAAACCTGATTCCAGGTAATTCTGCACAGAATTCTGCAGACTGCTGCACAGCAAGGCTTAAAACACATATCAAACCTTGAGCAAATGAGGTGAATTTCATGTGGGGGTCTGGAATATGTGTGGTGAGAGTCCCCTACAAATATCAGCTCATTTGCTCAAGGAGAAGTGGGTGATTACAATTGAAACCTGATTCCAGGCAATTCTGCACAGAATTCTGCAGACTGCTGCACAGCAAGGCTTAAAACACATATCAAACCTTGGGCAAATGAGGTGAATTTCATGTGGGGGTCTGGAATATGTGTGGTGAGAGTCCCCTACAAATATCAGCTCATTTGCTCAAGGAGAAGCGGGTGATTTCAATTGAAACCTGATTGCAGGCAATTCTGCACAGAATTCTGCAGACTGCTGCACAGCAAGGCTTAAAACACATATCAAACCTTGGGCAAATGAGATGAATTTCATGTGGGGGTCTGGAATATGTGTGGTGAGAGTCCCCTACAAAAATCAGCTCATTTTCTCAAGGAGAAGTGGGTGATTACAATTGAAACCTGATTGCAGGCAATTCTGCACAGAATTCTGCAGACTGCTGCACAGCAAGGCTTAACACACATATCAAACCTTGGGCAAATGAGGTGAATTTCATGTGGGGGTCTGGAATATGTGTGGTGAGAGTCCCCTACAAAAATCAGCTCATTTGCTCAAGGAGAAATGGGTGATTACAATTGAAACCTGATTGCAGGCAATTCTGCACAGAATTCTGCAGACTGCTGCACAGCAAGGCTTAAAACACATATCAAACCTTGGGCAAATGAGATGAATTTCATGTGGGGGTCTGGAATATGTGTGGTGAGAGTCCCCTACAAAAATCAGCTCAATTGCTCAAGGAGAAGTGGGTGATTACAATTGAAACCTGATTCCAGGCAATTCTGCACAGAATTCTGCAGACTGCTGCACAGCAAGGCTTAAAACACATATCAAACCTTGGGCAAATGAGGTGAATTTCATGTGGGGGTCTGGAATAAGTTTGGTGAGAGTCCCCTATAAAAATCAGCTCATTTGCTCAAGGAGAAGTGGGTGATTACAATTGAAACCTGATTCCAGGCAATTCTGCACAGAATTCTGCAGACTGCTGCACAGCAAGACTTAAAACACATATCAAACCTTGGGCAAATGAGGTGAATTTCATGTGGGGGTCTGGAATATGTGTGGTGAGAGTCCCCTATAAAAATCAGCTCATTTGCTCAAGGAGAAGTGGGTGATTTCAATTGAAACCTAAGTCCAGGCAATTCTGCACAGAATTCTGCAGACTGCTGCACAGCAAGGCTTAAAACACATATCAAACCTTGGGCAAATGAGGTGAATTTCATGTGGGGGTCTGGAATATGTGTGGTGAGAGTCTCCTTTAAAAATCAGCTCATTTGCTCAAGGAGAAGTGGGTGATTTCAATTGAAACCTAAGTCCAGGCATTTCTGTACACTAACTTCATTGCAAGAAAAAGTCGACCAAATCAGTTTGCATATAGCTGAAAATGTTCAGGGGGGCTGGAACAGGTGTCATAACACTAACAATGCTAAAAAAAATGGTCACCACATAACACATGTGTGTGATGCACAGAGAATGACTTTACATGTGCTATGAGCAATCTTAGTTGACACAAAAGTGACAAAATGGAACAAATTTGACAAAATAACAAACTCATGCCCGCTTGTAGAGGACATCAAGGAGATGCTGGAAATCCATATTTGTGTGCAAATTACCAACAAATGATGGAGTTATGAGCCAAACCATATAGAATTTTGACTTAGCCATTTTGACATTCTGCTTGTCAGAATTACACCAAAGTGTCAACAACAAAGTTTATATACAAATACTGTACAACAGTGGTTGCGACGTCGCTTTCGTGCGACCGTCGATAATCCAAACCGGTAGTGTAACCACTCTTGCGCCCATTTCGTTGCGCCATCAGGTGGTTTGGATTTTGTAAGATCCAACACCCTTTTGCGCCGAATCCGAGTCAAATCCGAGTAAAATCGTCTCGCCACGGGCAAAATGGAGTTTCGCCAAAAAAAATGAATCCCGGTCGAAGCAGAGGATCCGAGTGTTGCTTCCGCCTTTGGCCCGCCCTTCCCCCGTCAGGTGGTTTGGATTTCTAGGAATGTGGATCGAATGGAACAGAAGCTAGCACATGCACATGCGCGGGGAGTGGGGAGGGATGTGCTTCAGAAGTGGTTCTCGATATAAAACTCTTCTAATCGTGTACTTCAACCCAAAACACAGAAACCTTACTGCAACACCTACTTGTAGCCTCCAAGGCTTACGTAAGAATCTTGACAGGATGAAAATCATTATCTTTTTTCTTACCATAATGTCGTTAATTTGGAAAATGTATTCATTGCTATACCGTATTAGGGTACCCATAATACAGCCAGGTTAATGTATCAAAAGACGTGGTGTTGGAAGATCTCTTACTGTATGTGGGTGTATGAATCTGTGAAGGGAAATGATCGGATTGGGGCCCCGAAGTTCTAGGAAAAAGAGCCGACTTGGGGCCTCGTGTGTCGCGATGTTTCGAACCTGGTCCGGACCTGTCTCTAACCAATTTCGGGCCTCACCCACGCGCTCCGTCAGACCTGACCACTCGAGGTGACGGATTTCTGAAGGGACAACGTGGCAAAAAATATAAACCCCATACGGGCATGCATCCGGTCAGGGAGGCATCAACCCTAAACACGCCGTCGCATGTTTTTAGGGTTGTTGCCTCCCCAATTTTATGCCATCCAATAAGATGATATTTTTTTTACAACTAAGAAAATATTTTGGGGCCAAAATGTTTATTTCTGGGCTATTTTGCTGAAGTATCTGTACTGCCCATTTTGAATGGTCTGACGAGCACTGCTCCCGTGAACCAGGGTGCTAGCGAAATCCGTCAAGCCCAAGCCAGCAGGTGGTGACGTGGCGAGCTCGGCCTAGCTGCTTAGGCTTGTGGGTGGCTTCGGGCCTCCTTCGTAGGATCGCGAGTCACGAGGCCCCAAGTCGACCATCTTTCTGCTAATCCGAGGCCCCAGTATGATCATTCCCCATCTGTGAATGACGGGGATTCGCGCTCTTTCTTTCGAAATTTCATGCCCGAATTTTTAGAGGACGACACGTGGCGGTCATCGCCAGCATCCCCTCCTATACCGCGGACGTCATAGGGGGCGTGTACGTCATGTACGATTAGAGCGACACGCTACAACAAAAGGGATAATTCAGCACAGCAAAACAGGACAGACTCTCCCATAGTTTCTGACGCTTACGTAACCCACGTCCACGCCCTCCGTACTTTCTGCTGCCTCGTGTTCACTTCTCGGCACTTCGCTGCTGTCGCGCAGTCTTGATAGGCGTGCACAATACCGACTAGTAGCAGCAGATCGACGTGGGGATCGAGTCGCACCTGACCACCCTCCTCAGCCGCGTCGCTTATTCCGCGTTTCGTCGACTCGCTGAAGCCACCTGCAGCCGTGTTTTGTGTCGACTAAAAAACGTGGCTCCTGACCACCCTCTTCGGCCGCGTGGCTTATTCCGATTTTCGTCGACTCGCTAGCGGCGATCAGGTGTGTATCAGAGATGCGCGGATCGGGTTAGTATCATGTGATCGGGTTTACTAACGCGCAGCGATTGGGTAGCCCGTGCCGCAGGCGTGATGTGACGTGACATGCTCCTCTCTCATCTAGTCCCCTTTCCATAGTCCTTTTCCCCATTCCGATCCCCGCGTTACGACACAACTGCTGCCCCCCTACCCTCCTCTCTGCTCCCTCCTCTCGCGTGCGCCCTCTCCTCTCGCATGCGCCCTCTACTCTTGCGTGCGCTCTTCCTCTCGCGTGCGCCCTCTCCTCTCGCATGCGCCCTCTCCTCTTGCGTGCGCTCTTCCTCTCGCGTGCGCCCTCTCCTCTCGCGTGCCCTCCCTGCTCACACGCCTCCCCTCCTCACACGCCTCCCCTCCTCACACGCCTCCCCTCCTCACACGCCTCCCCTCCTCGCACGCCTCCTCTCCTCACACGCCTCCCCTCCTCACACGCCTCCCCTCCTCACGTGAGAAAGCTGAGAGTCAGCAGGCAAGGGAACAGAGAGGAGCTATTGGCGAGTGCCAGGCGCACGCGAACCTTGCTATGATATCTCCTGCTCCCTGTTGATGTAATTCTAGTTGATCCCCTTTTCTCCCTACCCCTGCCGGTCCCGCTAATGCCTTCTCTACAAAGCATCGCTACATCCGATCCCTCCGTTTTCCACTGTGACACATTGCCACATCCGATGCTCCCCTTGTGCGCTCCCCTTGTGCCCTCCCTTTGTGCCCTCCCGTTGTGCTCTTAAGTTTGTTCTTCCGCCATGCCAGCTCCATGTCATCATCACCTGTGAAGGCCGAGGCATCAGAAGCTACACGGAGAGGCACCTCTCAACCCCACTGAACCCCCCCGTGCCTCCAGTTTGGCCCTCCATCAAACCAGCGCCAAGTCATTTTCAGGCAAGGTGGAGGCAGTAGACAAGGCAGAGGCATCAGCGCAAGAGAAGCCGAAGAAGAAGATATGCTGTGCGTGCCCCACGACCAAGAAGCTGAGGGACGAGTGCCCCCCCCTGACCCCCACTGGCCCCCTATGTTCCCCTTCTCCCTGCCCTCCCTTTGTGCCCCTCCACTTGTGCCCTCCAGTTTGGTCCCCTTTTGAAGCGGCATCATGTCTTCACCTGGGAAGGGCGAGGCAGCAGCGCAAGAGAAGCAAGAGCAGCAAGAGAAGCCGAAGAAGAAGATCTGCTGTGCGTGCCCGACAACCAAGAAGCTGAGGGACGAGTGCATTGTGGAACACGGGGAGGAGGCGTGCACCAAGTGGATCGAGGCGCACAAACAGTGCTTACGAAGCGAGGGTTTTAATGTCTGACTGGGATTATATAGGATAGGCTCCAGTATGTACTGTTGATATGCATGCAAGAGAAGAAGAAATGCTGTGCTGATGAGTGAGAAGCTGAGGGACGAGTGCATTGTGGAGCACGGGGAGGAGGCATGCACTAAGTGGGTCGAGGCACACAAACAGTGCTTGCACAGCAAGGGCTTTAAAGTTACTGCCTCATATGGTACATACATGTACCTGCGTATATGCAGCGATTGCCTAGTGGCATCCCCCAACTTCCATCCTCATTCAAGTCACACCCGAAAAAGACAAGGCAAATAGAATCAAACACTCACGAATCGGAGACATGGAATTCAGCGCTCAAACAAAACCCAATGATTGTTGGCAATTGTCAAATGTTGAAGCCTGTAGCGAGGCATGTCATGTGGGGTAAAGTTGTTAGGGTTAGGTATAAGTACCCCAGCTCACAATAATACATACATCATTCAGTTTCTGACATGGTATCGCCTAGGTTAGGATCCTGTTGGATCCCGTTCCTCGCTCTTGAGCCTCTCGCGCCCGTTACGCCTAGCCTACAACGCCTGTAGCGCCGTATCGTCGCGCCCGCCCCGTCTCCTCGCGCCCGTCGCGCCCGCCCTGTCCCCTCGCGCCCGTCGCGCCTCCCTGCCCGTCGCGTCGCACCTTGCCCATCCCGTCGCGTAGCGCCCTGCCCGTCCCGCCGCGCCTCCCTACCGGTCGTGTCGCGCTCTACCCGTCCTGTCGCGTCGCGCCCGTCGCCCCCATTACGTCCCGTCCCCTCGCGCCCGTCGCGCCTCCCTGCCCGTTGCGTCGCGCCCTACCCGTCTCGTCGCATCGCGCCCTGCCCGTCCCATCGCATCGCGCCCTGCCCGTCCCGTCGCGCCTCCCTGCCCGTCCCGTCACGCCCTACCCGTCCTGTCGCATCGCGCCCTGCCCGTCCCGTCGCGCCTCCCTCCCTGTCGCGTCGCGCCCTACCCGTCCCTGTCGCGCCTTTCACTCTACCTGTCGCGCTTTGCACTCTACCCGTCGCGCCTGTGCCGCCCTGCCTCTTGTGCTCCTAGCGCCCTGCCTGTCGCGCCCTGTTCAGGCCTTCTAGACGTCTGGCAGCCGTAGCTCCCTCCCCTCCGCATCAGCTATGGCAGCGCCTAGGGTCCTGTGCTTTGAGGCCTAGGGTCTGGCTCCTCCGTGCGCAGCACCTGCTAGAGAGTCAGTGTCAGGCTGACGAGTCACTCTGGGCGCACGCCAGGGCTCTTGCTAAGATTTAGGCCTGTCTGAAGTCCCCCCCCCCAAAAAATCGTTTTGTCTGACGTTCAGACGGGCAAAAAAAAAAAAGTCTGATTTTTCAGACGAAAGTTGGAGCTTAGTCTGATTCATAAGACAAAATGTTTTCCATGGTCTGTTTGCTGTATTACACTAGTCAGCCATGAAAACGGTATGATTCAGTCTTTACGAAGTACGAAATGAATGCGCGACGTTGACAACCTGCTAGCAGACAGTCATAGCAAGTTGGGCGCCTAGGGGGACTTGGGGGGGGGGGGGGGGGGGGAAGTTGGGCTGCGAGGGACATGCATGGGTGGGTCCGTGTCTTACGCGACGGACCAGGGGGGTGGAGGGACTTGAGGGGAAGGGGGCTGGGCTGGGAAAGGTGTAGGGGAGCTAGGCGGGGGAAGGGGGGATGGACTGGGGTTGCGCAGCGAGAGGCTGGGCTGGTAGAGGGGTGACTTGGTGGTGAGGTTAGGTTAGGAGAAGCGCATGAGGGACGGGACTTAGGGCAGGGGGGACTGAGGGGAAGGGGGGGGTGGGAGGGGGATGGGGCAGGCCAGTACGGTACTTTCGCGGTATCAGATGAAATTGTACGCGCTTTCTGATTTTTCAGACGGAATATAACACTTAGTCATTACGGAAAAAAAATCATTCGTCTTGTGGTTCAGATGAAAGAAAAACTATGGTCTGGAAGATCAGATGAAACAAAGAAATCAGGTCTGATTTTCATACCATCAGACCGATTTGGTCTGATAACCAGAGCCCTGGCGCACGCTGACCTTCTTGCGCCCTCTGCTCCTGAACCCCTAGGCGCTGACCCCACCACTGTGGACAAATAGTGTTTTGCACGTCAGCGTGTTGCTCTGACAACCTGGAAGTCGCGCGACGCCGCGTCCTGCATCGCCCTCAGCAGCCTCCTCCCTAAGTCTGAGAAGATCCACTTCACCCTGGTTCGCACTGCAAGCGAGTTCCTGATTGTGATCAAGGCCCGCTACTCCACTCCCACCACTATCTCTCTTGGTTGCCTATTCCTCCCGTTCCTATTTCCTGACCTCGCCTCGTTTGAGCATTCTGCTGACTTGATCGCTTACCTGCGTTTCCTAAATTCTAGCTACCGCGCTGCCTACACTGATGCACAACTTGCCCCCCCCCCCCCCATGGTGATTACTATTTACTTTTTCGTTACTAGCCCCCCTGATCGCTTTGCCACAGTTCACGACACACTTCTTTTGAAGCACCCTAGCGAGCTCACTATCGAGGTCCTTGAGTCTGCCCTCAAGTTTGTTGAGAGGAACCTCTGCTCGGTAGCCTCCGCCTCTGGTGCTGTGCCCCTCCCACTATTCCACGGGTGCAATGTCCCACAGCTGCCCACCTTTACTGCCTCCCTCGCCGCTACTGCAACTGACAAGACCGCGGCTGCTGACACGACTTATGCACGGTCTAGAGTTAGGAGTGGCAGGAGGGGCGGCCAGGGTGCAGCCAGCAGCGGAGGTGGCGTGGCGAGTGGTGGTGGCGGGAGTGCAGGTGTTGGTGGAGCGCCTCGTGCAACTTCTAGTGGCTCCCCTTTTGCAGCTGGTGGAGGTGACGCTCGGGTTCGTCGTGCACTTGCGGCGCTGCCAGCTGCAGGTGCTGGGGTGGCGGCCAATGCTCTCGCAACAGCCACTGCTATCGCAGCAGCCACTGCTATCGCAGCAGCCACAACAGTAGTATGGGCAGCAGTAGGTTCAGAGGCATGGGCCAGGACCACGTCAGCTAACGCGTGGTGACGCCCACCCACCCTGCCCCTACCTCATCCAGACACGTACTTGTAGTTGCCTCCGCTACGACCGCAATCACCCATCGGGTCAGTGCTTTACTCAGCTCACTGACAGACTTCGCGCGGCCTATGGCGCAGACGGCCCTGCCCCTGACTAGCTTCCACTTGTTCTCTCGCATGGTCCTGCACTCTAAGGCATGTCTGCTTGTCAGTTATTTGAACACTTAGGAACTGTAAATGCTATGTATGCTATTGTTGACACTAGTGCTTCTGACTCCGTTTGCTTGCGTGTTTTTAGCTTAGTTGCTAGTGTTGATCCAGTGCCAGTTGCTAGTGTAGGTACTTGCTTAGGTACTCGTCTAGGTTCTACTCTGGCGGACACTTCGCTGTCTTTCAGCCTGGATTCCGGAGCTTCCCAATGTTTCTTCCGCAACCACACGACTCTTACTCCGCTTCCTGCGCCAGTCTCTATAGCACTAGCTGTTCCCACATCGGGACCAGTCATTGCTCACCACTCTACTATGCTTCCATGCCCGGCTGTTCCCTTGGAATCTCTGACGAGCTTCCACGTCCCCTTGTTCTCTAAAAACTTGGTGGGTGTGCAGTCGCTCATGAGTCAGCACGTTGGTGTTTGGTTTGAGCCTTCTGGGGACTCTACAACCTGTGTGGATGGTGACACGTATGCCTCCCTGGCCACCTTTTGCCAGGAGTCAAGGTCTGGTCTCTACACCCTTCACACTGGCCCTCGAGAGAGGAAGCATCAGCAGCAGCAACAGCTGCCTCCGACCCCTGTCACTGCCCCTCGTCAGTTCCTAGCGTCCCACCAGGTAGCTGTGTCTGGTCAAGTTACATCGCCTAGTCAGGTTGCTGGTGCCGGTCACTTGCCCACCCCACCATTCTATGGCACCACCGTCTTGGTCACCCGTCCCTTCCTCGTCTTCACACTATGTCTAGTCAGCGTCTTGTCATAGGCCTCCCGCGAGTCTTACCATCGCTGCTGCTTTCGCCTGCACCTCCTTGCGGCCCTTGTGCCGGCTGTGTGCCACCCTTCACTCCTCCTCCCTTCGTCTGGCCACCGAGCTCTTTAAGACTTTCCACTTGGACGTCTGGGGCCCCGCCTCTCGCCTTGGTCCTGAGCAAGAGAGTTTCTCTTTCGTGGTCGTCGACAACTACTCTCGCTACACCACCGTTTTCCCTTTGGCAAAGAAGTCCGACATGACTTCTACGCTGATTCGATGGTTGCTCACTACAGAGGGTACTCATCACCGCCGTGCCAGTTGTCTTCACTCCGACTGTGGGGGTGAGTTTCGCTCCAGCGTTCTCTCCGGATTTTGTCGTGAGCAGGGCATCCTCTAGTTCTGAAAGCTTCCAGAGTTCCTACAGCAGAATAGGGTTACTGAGAGCCGCATAGGCTTGGTCAGGGAGATTGCATGCACCACCATGATCCATGCCCGTGCGCCCCATTTTTTGTGGCCCTACGCGGTTCGGTACGCCATTCACCAGCTGAACCTCTGGCCACGTGTCTCACGGCCAGGGGTTTCACCGACCAGTCTTTGACTGGGTCCCCTAGTGTTGCGTCGCGTTTCCGTGTCTGGGGCTGCTTGGCGCGTGTTCGCGACACCTCCGCGGACAAGCTGTCCCCTCGTGCCCTTCCCTTTGTCTTCCTTGGCTTCCCAAAGGACATGTCTGACTTCACCTTCTACCATCCTCCCCTTCACCAGTTCCTTGACTCCCGTGACGTCTGTTTTGACGAGTCAATCCCCTACTACACCCGGTACACCTGTCGAGGTCTCTCGGTTCCTCCTCCCCCTCTCTTCTTCACTCCCACTCCCCCTCTTGCTCCTCCGGTACAGCCCCCCCCCCCCCCCCCCCTGTGTCGTCTAGCCCTGTCAGGTGTGTCACACGCTACCCCCCCCCCCCCCCCTTCAGGTCCCATCCCCTTCTCCGCAGTCCTCCTCACCATCACCGCAGCAGCCGTCAGCACATCCTCCACAGGCTGCTATAGATCCTGAGGGTACTGGTGTCTGTAGTGCGGACCCTGGAGGTGTTGGAATTGGAGCTGAGAGTGTGCCTGCACGAGGTCCTGGTGCTGGGGGTGCTGAAGTTGGAGCTGAGCCCGTGTCTGCACGAGGTTCTAGTCTTCAGGGAGCTGGTGCTCGTCGAGCTGTCACTGGGGGTGCTACAATTGGGGATGCGGGTGCGCCCTGCTGGACCTGGAGAGCCTGGAACTGACCACGTTGCTGCTGGTGGTGCTGGCTCTGAGGGTGGTGCAACTGGTGCTTTGGAGAGCGGCCATGGGGCTACCACCGCCCCGAACACCACTCCTTCCCCCCACCCCTATCTGACCCGACACCAAGCCCTTCTTCGCCGTGCACGTGAGGAGCAACTAGAGTTGGAGCAAGAGAAGCTAGCATTGGAGCGGGAGCAGCTAGAGCTACAACAGCCAGAGGAGCAGCAGCAGCAGCAGCAGGAGTAGTAGCTGCCACATCGGGAGCAGCTGAGGTGATGCGCGACGTATCGAATCGCAAACGCCCACAGAAAATGGGGAGCAGCCACATGGATCATGGAGGTGTGAGCAACCTCCATAATCAAGCCAATGCGGCGCTCAAAAATTCCAATCTGCTGTGGAGATGCCGGAAGCGTGAACGACTAGGCGATGCCCCCTGCATGACAAAAGTCCTCGAGGAGGCGGGAGCAAAACTTACTGCCACTGCCAGAGTGCAGTCGCAAGACCGGGAGGTCTCTCAGCTGGCGATGAACAGCAATGATCCAGGAGATCAAAACACCGCGGACATCTGCCTTGCGCTGCAAGGGGAAGACCGTAGTGTAGCGCGTGTAGTCGTCAACAATCAGGAGGAAGTAGCGCTCCTGGTCCTGTCCACGGACGCGGGTTGGGCCCCACACGTCCATGTGGAGAGTCTGAAGAGGAGCAATGGTCGGCGGAAACGAGGAGGAGTGACGAGCGGCACGCTGCCGCCCCTCGACGTAGGGAAGGCACGGCGGTGCAGGCGAGCAAGGGAGCAGGGGCAGGGACCTGGGGAGGCCAGAGACAAGGAGATAAGAGTGCATGCCACGGAGGCGCGAAAGAGAGGGGTGACCAAGACAGTGGTGTCAGAGGAGAGTCTGGTGCGTGAGGAGCCGACACGAACAAGACGCAGCTAACTGACCCGACGCAGCCTCTAACGCGACGCAGCCACCTAAGCAGACTTAGTAGTCAGTATGTACAGTCCCAACCCGGGTCTCCGTATGAACGTGGTGAGGTGCTTGCCAGTGCGTGAGTCCGAACAGATCGCCATAACTCACCCCATGAGTAGTCGCGGTGACAATCTGGTCCTAGAGGACAGCGTTACTCACCAAGTTCGTAGTGAACGAGGGGAGGTGGAGACATGCAAGCGAGCCGGAAGGGGCACCGAACACAGGAGAACGTTAGAGGGACGTGCTACGACTTGGCCCCCAGAGGGGTCAGCAAGAGGGACCGAGACAGGTGCAGTGAGCGGTGTGACGGTGGTGCAGTCGCGGAAGAAGCAACGAGGCGCGCCTGAGTCAAGCGTGAAGGTGTGCAAAGCCTCCACAGAAGCTGCAACTGTGCTACCAGGCTCACAAGCACCTAGACTGGTAGCCTCTGCACTACCAAAGACACGTCGTTGAGAAACCCTCTCGTGAAGCTGCTGCGGCGAGAGGGTCTCTTGCTGACGATGTTGCCGCTGCTGTCTAGTACCCCAACCAGAGCGGCTTCGTTCAATCACCCACTTGCGAAGTTGGTGCGGCGAGAGAGTCTCCTGGCGACGAGAATGCCGCTGTTGTCCAGTATCTCTAGCACCTGTGAAATCCCAAGCTCCAGAACCAGAGCGGCCTCGCCGAATAACCCACTCGCGAAGCTGCTCCGGCGATAGAGTTTCCGGTTGACGCTTCTACGACCATGATAGTGGCCATGATAAGCAGTGGCAGTTAGTAGCAGCGGCGCAAGGGCATCAGTAGCGACTGTTGTAGCTGCAGCTGTAGAAGTAGCGGTAGTCGCTGTAGTGGCAGGTGCTGTGGCTGCAATAGTAGTAGCGATTGTAGGAGTGGCTGTAGAGGTCAGTAGGGTGCGTGGGCAGCAGAGCGCGCACGGGTAGTAGGGCGCGCACTAGCAGCAGGGCATGCGGGCAGCGGGGCGCGCAAGCAGCAGGGCTTACGGGCAGCAAGGCGCGCAGGGCGCGGGCAACGCAGGCACTTGGGGTGCTGTTCAGTGCGGGCTGCAGTGCGGTGCGCGCGGGCTGCAGTGCGGTACACACGGGCTGCATGGCACGTGGGCTGCAGGGCGGACGAGATGTAGGGCGTGCGGGCTGCAGGGCAGGGCGGCGGGCGGGCTGCAGGGCAGGGCAGCACGCGGGCTGGGGTAGGGCAGCGCGCGGGTTGCAGGGCTGCGCAGGCAGGGCAGCGCGCGGGCTGCATGGCAGGGCAGCGCGCGGGCTGCAGGGCAAGGCAGTGCGTGGGCTACATGGCAGGGCAGCGCGCGGGCTGTAGGGCAGGGCAGCGCGCGGGCTGCAGGGCGGCGCGCGAACACAGCGCGCGGGCTGCAGGGCGCACGGGCACGCGGGCTGTAGGGTGCACGGGAAAACGGCTCGCCTAGGCGCGATTCGGGCAGGAAAAACGGCTCATCTAAGGGCGCGATTCGGGCAGGAAAAACGGCTCAGCTGCGAGGCACTTGGCCCACCCGGTCCTGACAACAATCAGATCGGGTGAACGATCAAATGGCTAGAAACGCAAATCCAAATTCGACAAAATCGGCACACAAGCGAGAAAATCAACCCCTGACTGGTCAGACGTGCCGCGCTCGGGAAAAAATGGTTTCCCACCCATGATTGACGGTGTTCGTGCAACACACCGCCAGGCTGGCGGAAACTCCTGTATTACTGGTTTCAGAGTGCACCCCCGATACAAGTCTGAGGCTCAGCCTACACTAATAAAATTAGGCTGAAATTTCAGACAACTCATAAAACAAAACTCTGGAAAATCAGACAAGGTACA